ATATTCAAAAATTAGTTCCTTCCTAGCTACATGAACCTGGGTGGGTGAAGGACAAGATGGCTGGTGAGATGTCTGAGCTATCCTAAGAGATGCTGTTACCAATAAAGGCAACTTTATTCAAACCATGTTCTGGATCACCATGAAGGAGTTTATTTCCTAAATAAACACAACCCACATGGCCCTGAGTCATGCACTCCCAATTCAGACTTCTTAGACAATTATCCCAATATTTTTTATATGGCCTACAGTGGGAGAAACTGAAGAGATACTATGTTCACTGGCAAAGTATGGTGAGGGAGAAAGGAGGCAGCAATAGGAATGGAAAACAAAATGTGGGGGAAAAAATTACCAACAAATTTCACCTTCACACAGTTTTTTCACACAGTACTTTTTCCTACTCATCCTTTAAGGTCCAACCTGCAGTGTCTTGTGAAGTTGACCACTCTGTTTTGTCCTACTCCTTCTCTCATCTCACACCTTTATTACAGCACTTTGTGTACTGTATCCTATTTCTGTCCATATCACTCACTACTTCGAACTTTTTAACATTTTGCTGTATTTGCAATCTCACTCGATTCATTATGCACAAATTCTTCTGAACCACCTTATAGTTCACAAACTTCCTAAAATATCCTCGTAATGTCCTTTAATCCTAAACCCAATTAAAAAAAAAAAAAAAATCACACTGCATTTGTTTCTTTGGAGCACTTCCCCAGACTTTTTTTCACCAGGATTATTCTCTTTAAAATGCCAGCACCCAATAGTGCATGGTACTTAGTTAGCAGTCCACGGCCATGTATTATATGAATAAAGACACCTGAAGACAGCTGGCTACCTAGAGCACCTGTTAAATGTCCCAGTTCATTGCAGCTTTGGGATAATTAAAGATAATCCCTGAATAGGAGATGCAGAGAGAAGGCAAGATGAGTAATACAGAAACCATGGACAGAAACAAGCCATGGAAAACTCTTTGAAGGGAGAAAAATCATAGAATTCTTGGCCCTTATTAGGACCATTTTACAATGGTCAGGTACAGTGCAAAACCAACCAGGTAGCATGAGAGCAAAAGGCTGTATTCTTTTCATACCTCACAAAATTTATCAGTAAAGTAACACTGAATTTTTGAGAGGTGTATTACAGCTGCCTCCAATATCCAAGCCCAAACTTCCTGTAATTAAGATAACACTGTAGCAACTCTGAAATTAAGAGGGAGTTTTGAAATCTTAAACTGAAAAGCCTTTCAACAGTGTGGGAGGGTTCAATAACAAAGTTCTGTAATCACTGAAGTAGAACAGAAAGAACTAGGTAAATAGAGAAACTCAGCTGATCACCTTTAACTCATGGAATTAATGGACCATGCTCTTGGCTATCTGGCTGGAGCCATGGTACACAGCAGTTGTACAAGGTACTTCATTTTTCTAAAACTCTCCAGCTGTCACTACTGTTAAGTTTTCTGAAAGGAAACAGTATGAAGCAAGAGCTGACTCTTAAGTCACAAACAGGAACTGAAAATAGGCTGGTAGTGGCAAATGGAAGCTCTTCATTATCCTGATGTCTCTATAGTGATTGTTACCTGTTTATCATTCTACCCACGTTTTTACAGTATTAAGAAACTGCCATAGAAGCAACTTCACATCAGTAGAAGTGACAGCATGGGGCCTTGTGTCCCATGCTACCCTCTCCTCTAACCCTTTGCACTTGTAGCAGCTTTCTGAAAAAGATTAAGGTTAAAAAGTTGCTGCCTTCTCATAGTCTCCAAATGAAGGAATTCTAAGTAGAAATTCATACAAAACCTGAATAGGGGAACGTACAGAATCCTGTTTGCATTAATATTTGATACTCAGGGATTAAAACCAATATGCAAACCTCACATTTGCACAGTCCCATGGTGACTACGTTCCCTTTCAAGGTAGCTGAAATAAAAGTAGGATAAAAGCACTTTGAAACTTTAGTACCAAAATGGAACCATGCTGTAGTAAACCCTTCCCCCTCAAGATCGTACTGGTATTTGGTGCCTAAAAGAATATTAGGAAAGGGACTTAGATATTAAAATGTAAAGGAATTACTCTAACGCACAGTGGTAATGTATTTAATTTAAAAAAAGAATTCTAATTTAATGAAAGGTGGTATTCTGAAGGCAACTGTCCTTTGCTCTAATGCAAAACAGCTCTATGAGGCTTAGGCTTTTCATTCACCTATACCTATCTGCTCAACTTACTTCTCTACAAGGTTTGCCTAAGGGGAGGAGACAGGCGATTAGAAAAGACCCATACCACACCTTGCATTTGCATAAAAGATTTATTATTCTCTTCTCAGGAAAAACAGAAAAGTTAAGGAAACACACTACATTTTACAACCCACATTAATTTGTAGTTGGTCCTAACCCTTTCCAGCACAGCTGTCAAAAGCATTAGCTGTTTAACCAGGACCAAGGTGTTCACTTTCTATAGAATGTACATGAATGAAGCTAGAGGAGGACCAATCTTTTTCCCTGAGAGAAGCATAAGACAAACAAGTCACCGGGAGCCATCTTTCGAAGCAGCCCCTCCCTTTCCACTTTGGAGGATTTGCCTCAACTATGCAGCCAGTCAGCACAGACTTAGTGCTTCCCCCTGCCCAGTAAACCAACCCCTTTCTCAAAGGGCTTGGGCTGTTTTAGCCCTCATTGCCTCAACCCAAAATATCAGCTTAGATCCTCACCTGTATTTCAGCAGTCACATCTAGTGAATTGGGAAATGGGGCCCCCTAAACTCCACCAATTTACCCCTAACACACTTATTTTCACAATTTGGTATGGGGAGACCAGCCTTTCAGTCACCTCACTCAGATCTTAAAATTAAAAAACTACATAAAGTGCTTTCAGGTCCCTAGAGATAGACATGATATAAATAAATGGTTTATGATCAAGAATGATAAATACATTAAGTAAAAATAGCTCTAACAGGATGACCTTATGGCTCGGAGATGGGCAGGCAAAGCAATTCTTCCCTATTACATTCTTAGTCATTTTATTCATGCCTATTTTTATCTGGAGTCCATAGACTAAAGGTCACACTCTGTGGCTGAAGCTTTCTACTACAGAAGTATATACCAGTAACTTTTCTGTAACTCTTTGAGGATTAACAGCACCCACCCCTTTCAATAAACTTAAGTGGGCATACTGAAATGTAAATAAAATCTTTGTTGTTGTTCCCTTCTTTGGAAATTGCTAGGGAGAATTTGAATTTTTTTTCCAAAGACAGTATAAAAGAACCAAGGAGAAAGGATTCCCCCCCAACTCCATGACTGCTGTCATAGCATCCATCGTACTAGGGCCTCCCAACAGGGTAAAATTTGTGATTGATAAAGGTCTGTGGATTCCTGGGGGGTCACCCAGGTTCCCACAGGACAGGGCTCATAATGCCAAAACTAAAAGGGCTACGAAAGTACAGGGATAGCAAAGATGTAGAGATTGATAGACATAAAGGGCAAGTTTGATAGAACATCAAGCATGAAATTTAAAGAAATGTCAATGTAAATTATTCAAACAAAATTTGGGAATCATTAATAGAAATTAAACAATAAGCATTTGTTTTATTGATAAATTAGGCCTAGACCTGTATTTAACAAGCAAGCCTAATAACAAGCACCATAGATAGATTATAGCCTGGTTTTCCAAGCCATCATGTTACAATTTATTAAACAAAGACGAGTTCAAATTTCTCTCATCCACCTGATAGGATCTTTTTATACACATACTGCTATTAAGTCCCATTTGGAACAGCTGAAAATCTTTTAGCAAAAGTTTTAAAGATGAGCTCATGAACTTAGTTTAAATTAGGTCCAATAGACGGAATGCACATGAATAGTTGCCCAATCAGAGCCCACTATCTAATTCATCAGCACTCCCTCCCAAAAAACTTTTGAAACGCCACTGACTCATCACTGAAAAGTGAAAGGATCAATTTCCATTCCTCAATCTCTCAATCCCAGGTTTTCAAAAAACAAATCTAAGGAATACTTACCAAAATCAGATAGGAAAAACTAAAGCCTGCATAGTTATGAATCAAGAATTGTTCCAACACAACCAAATTGCATACAATTGTATCAATCAATTCTGTATACACTCTAGAACTGACCAGGGTCAAAGTTTAGAACGGAAAAACTGTCAAAATAGTGTGTGTGTGGAAGGGGGGCATGGACCCCCCCCAAAAAAAAACTCACTAATGTAAATTAGACTCCTTTTCGTTTCAAATACATTTTCTGTAAAAATACATAGTTTTTACAGACAAATACACGTGGTTTTCTTTTAAAAAAAAAAAAAAAATTTGCAATTGTGTAATTATTGAGCATAAAGTCAAGTATTCCTGGCCGTAACTAGGCTAATAAACTCAAAACACATCAACGTAGAACAGGTAAAAAAGTCCTGAACACTTGGACTTTCTATTTATCAAGAAGAATACCTGGGAAAGGTAATTAAAAACAGGAAAAAGCTTCCCTTCACTCTGTTGTACAGTACTGAGGCTTCTAGTCATAGTTCTTATTTGTAGCTTAAATCCATTTTACACAGGTCACTGGCACTGTTAATGATTATTTTTCAAGACTACAGCAAGTTAATGAATTCAGTGGGCACGTTTAATGAATTCTATGACTAGCCTGGCTACTGGCCACTCTTCTAGAAAAGGAAATTATAAGCCTTTCCACCCTACAATCATCACTAAACCTAAAGTCTTCCGTGGCCTCCCAAAGTTTGCCTGTTGTTGAGACTGAACTTTGCTCCTTTTAAAACAGTGACTCTTCCAGGAAGCAGGACTGCTTTTCCCATGTGTTTACTCCTGTTAGCCATATAAGACATAATCCTCTTGCCACTTGCTTTTCTGGCTAGGTTGCTAGAGTAGGACTCTTGGAGACCACAGCCTGGGCAGCTTGATGTCCACCTTCATAAATACATTGAATTTCACAGCAGAAGTGTGTTATTCTGGTGGCTGGAGTTGGTTAAGTCAATTATTGCACTTACAAGGCTATCTAATTAGATATGCCAAACCAGCTCCTACTCCAGCAACACCTGCAAAAGCCAGCAGCACATTTCTGATGCCGACTTCTAGGTCCTCTACATGGAAGAACTCCACAAACCCATCCTAGGAAACAAAAAGAAGAACACGTTTTTCAAGTATGGGTTTCTGGTGGCTTGAAAATGCTTTTTACAGAGTAAAGATGAATTAATATAGCTATGTCCCCCAAACACGATGAACCAAGTATTTATCATTCACTCCTGCACTGCAAAAAAAAGCCATTTCCCTAGTTCTTCAGTTCATTACAACAAGTAGGCCACTTGTAATAATTACGTTTGATTTTCACGTAGTGTTGATGATATCCCAAACCAAACCAATGCTATTCCAACTCAGAGACCCTACAAGACTGAACAGAATCTGCCACATAGAGTTTCCAAAGCTGTAATCTTTATGGAGGCACACTACCATGTCTTTCTCATGTGGACTGCCTGCTGGGTTTGAACTACAGACCCTTTTTGTTAGTGGTTGAGTGCTTTAACCACTGTGCCACCTGGGCAGTGTAATTTTGGTTACATCCCAAAAAACCAAACTCACTGCCGTCAAGTCAGATCCGACTCATAGGGACCCCTCCTTGGGTTTCCGAGGCAGTATCACCACAGAGGTAGATTGCCCAATCTTCCTTCTGAGGAGTGGCTGGTGGGTTTGACCAGCCAGCCTTCTGGTTAGCAGTCAAATGCCTTAGGCACTATGCCACCAGAGCTCCCCTTGGTTATATTAGAACTAATAAAAGGGCTCTGTTCTCATTTAAAAGTCTCAAGCAAGTCCTTAGCCTAAAATTCCCACTAAATCCTAAAATCCAGTATCTTAACTGCGTAAAGGGCAGTCTTTCTCACTGTGGTCTAGTGCCTCCTGCATCACAATCATCTAGGCTTATGTTTAAGATGCAGATTCCTGGGTCCCACCCATCAATTGGAAACTCCAGGCTGCTCTGATAAAATTACCCATCATTCCATTTCTTCATGGTTTGAGTCCTCTGGTGTAAGATTATCCACATGAATCACATCAAACTGTCAAAAGTAAAAGACTCAACAATCACCGATATAGGCTATAAAACACCCAGAATTTTCAATGCAAAAATTCACCACCTTCACACCACTACCTAAACCAACATCAAACTTGATAGAGTTGAAAACTGACACTCTCACAAGACTGAAAACTTAAGTTGTGCATTATAAAAACCTACACACCCCACCTTATCTATAAAATTCTGTATTCCATTTCCACTCCAAGAACCCACACCCCAAAACCTTAATGTAAACTTACCCAGCCTCTTTGTTTGACTAACCAGTCCCGTTTTGTTCTTACGAGAACATCTGTGATACTTTCTGCCAATGGTTCGATGCAGCTTTCTTGGTTTATGCTCTTCAAGTGTTTGGCCACAAAGGCACCAAAAGATATGAGAGTCACAATTCTGCCCCAGTTTGTTATTCCGTCACTGAAAACATGGACCATCACACGAGATAAAGATTTGACATCATCTTCGTTTTTGATGTCCAGTTTCCGAAGCATGCCTGAGAGGAAGAAAAGCATGCAGGTTCTCACCGCCTCCTTTGTCTAAACCAGGGCACGAAGCTCCTGCCCACCCACCGCGGGGGAAATCGCTAATTCGGGCTCAATAGAAATCAGGCCGACCCCACTTGAAAATCTACACCCCACCCTTTCCGGGTTTTGAACAGAGTTGCCATTTCCCAAAGAATTAAGATGGGCGGAAACAATGACTCATGGTCAGAGTATGTTGGCTTCAGAAATAGGATCAGACTCGTTTCAACGCTGACTCGTTTCGGTTTCCACCCTCCCTCGGTGACTGAGTCCAGGGAAAGATGGAAAAAAAGCAGGGCGGTCTTCGTAACTAACTTCCTTACCTTGGAAGGCCGTCTCATGGTTGCGCTGCACACCGTCCCCGACCCGCCGGAGGGTCTCTAATGCCTTCCTGGTAGCGGCCCCAGACCCGCCCATTGGCTTTGCGTCCTTGGCGCCAGTCGCCTGTTCCCGAAGGTACCGAGAAATAATCTCTAACGATTGCCGGTACAACTCGTCCTCCTCCTCCTCCTCCTCTGCTGACGGCGGCGTCGAGGGTAGTGACCCGTCTGTACCAGGGCCATTACTGCCCTCTCCAACCAACCCCAGCAGAGGAAGGACAGCCGGCCGCTTCCCGAGCGGCTCCGGCTCGTACCCGTCCAGCTCCTCTTCGGGCGACATGATGGCGTCCGCAGGCGAGGCTTCCATCTCCTCGGGCGGCGACGCGCGGCAGGTGGGCGCAAAGAACGACGGCCTCGCGGGGCTTGCGGTGACGTCGGGGCCCTCAGCGCCAATGGGCGCCGGCCGCGCGACCCTCAGAGCGTCCGGCGCGAGAACGGCCGGGGGGCTTGCGCTGACGCTTCCGCCACTTAGCGCGCTGACTTCCCCTCCCCCTACTTCTCGTCGGGTCGTGGCCTCCTTTCCAGGAGCTGAAAATCGCCCTCCCGGAGGGGTGGCGCCGCCTCCAGTGCCGGCCCCTAATCCAGCCCCGCCACAGTAGAGGTTGAGTCCGATTACCGCGTTTCTCTTCAAGCCAAACATCGCGAGCCGCTGCCGGGGCCGGATGAAAAAAGTGGCGGAGACACCGGCTCCTTACTTGAAGGAAGCGGAAGGAGGAGTGGAAGAGGCGCTCCTAGATCGCAGTTTTAGGACCAGTCCTACGCGATGGCGTCAGCGACGACGCCAAAAAAAAAGGGGGGGGGCGGGGCGCGTTGCACACGGCACTACCGGTCTGCCTTGATGGGCCGGGCGATCGGTTACGTAACGACGGCACCTAGCACTTTTGCTCTCGGTCTCAAGGTCTGTGTCCCTGTGCAGGGCTGGGGCCTTCTGGGGCCTTCTCGATCCTGACTCGTTGCTTCTCTGATCCCTAATTTATAAGCACATACCAAAGTCTGAACCTTTTAATCACCAAGATTGAGAAAGGTGATGAGGGGATTTCATCTTGGATGGGGCATCTTAGGTATTAGAGGCAAATAAGAAGGCACTATTGGGGCCTTTAAAAGCTCTGGTGGTACAGTGGTTAACCAAAAGGTGGGTGGTTGGAGCTCACCAGCTGCACCCAGCGAGAAGGATGAGGCAGTCCGCTTCCGTAAAGATTTACAGCCTTGGAAACCCTATGGGGCAGTTCTATTCTGCCCTATAGGGTCGCTATGAGTAGGAATCAACTCGATGGTGGTGGGTTTTGGTTGAAGCCTATGGTAATTTTGCACATCATCAGCTCTATACTCCAACAACGTTAGAAAATAGAGATGCTCCATGGACTTAGAAAACTATTTGAAATGAACTTGTTCTGCCCTAGCTAAACTATTCCAGTCTCCCTACCAGCTTTTACCCATCCCTTACCCTTGCCCAAGGAGTCATGGTTGTGCAGTGGTTAGAGTGTTTTGCTGCTAACTGAAAGAGTGGTTAGAACCCACCAGCTGCTTCATGGGAGAAAGGTGTGGCAGTTTGCTTCGCAAAAGATTGTAGCTTGGAAACTGTATGGAGCAATTCTACTGTCTCATAGGGTAGCTCTGAGTCTGAATCGATTCAATGGATATAGGATATCTTTGCCCCACAGTCCCTAGCTCCATTTACATATAAACATTTCTCCCTCAGCACTTCTGGCTCTTGGTGTTTTTGTATAATGATCATTAAGGCAGATTTGATTCTAGGTGTAATCCCCTTGAGGGAAAGGATCCTATTATGTGCCATATGTGTTGTTGTTATGTGCCCTCGAGTCGAACCCAACTCATAGCGACCCCTCCTTGGGTTTCCGAGGGAGTATCACTACGGAAGTAGAGTGCCCCATCTTCCTTCCGAGGAGTGGCTGGTGGGTTTGAACCCCCAGCCTTCTGGTTAACAGTCAAGTGCCATAGGCAATTTCAACTCATGGTGATCCCATGTGTGTCAGAGTAGAACTGTGCTCTATAGGGTTTAAAATGACATTTTTTGGAAGTAGATCACCATGCCTTTCTTCTGAGGTACTTCTGGATGGACTTGAACTGCCAGCTTTTTGGTTAGCAGCCAAGTGGCTTAAAGCCAGCCACTCCTCTGTAAAAGATTTGTAGAAATAGTAGCTAAAATTCAAGAGCAAAGTATTTGAGGGACATATGAAGGAAAGAAGAGTAAGTTTCCTACTGCCCACAATATGACAGTTTGGTTAGAGGTAGGTTACTTATACCACACAATTACGTATATTAATGGGACATAGAACCATAGGAAATTTTTTTTTCAAAATAAAAAGTTTAAAAAAAGGAAGGGGGTACTCACTTTTGCACATACACTAAAAGTAGAATGAAAGAGATTAGCACG